GAGCTCGTGGGAAAGCGATGGCATGTTGAGTCCAATCTATTCTTGGAGACGCCAGGGGGCATGATGGGTGTCCAATTGGCTGCTGCGAGGTGCGGAGAAAGAAGAAGCGTCGGCGCTTAATTTTCTACCTCTCTTGGTCGCCCAACCTTTGATTTCGGATGTGATACCACGCTGCGTGATTCGGCTCCTAGGCAAGCTGGTCGAGAACCTTGCATTAGCGTTTCGCCCAAGCTGCTTCGCCAAAGGCACCTCGCATCCGTTGGTCGAGACACGGGAACGCGGCGGTATGACCTGGTTTGCGCAGGCGTACTGAGTCGCTTGACGACAAAGTCCACATATGCATGCCGTGTCACTCTTTACAGAAGCCCGACCCCCCGACCCAACAAGCAAAAGAACCCAAGTCATTCTCGGACAATGGCAAGCGGCCTACCGACTGGCCAGATAGGTGACCTGATCCGCGCGAGTTGGCAGCCTCAAAGCCCAGTAGCAGATAGGCGATAGACCTCTCGGCCTCGCCTCCTTCTCGGTGTGCTGCAGATTAGATACCGGTGTGGTGGGGTTGGTAGTGGCCCTTTGACCCTTTGATCGTGGTTATGCTCCAGATGAGCTTGGCTCTGTTCGGTCTGTTCGATCTACGAATGGACTTTCTTTCCGTCAGGCAGTCGGCAATCAATCAGCCCAGTCCAGTTGCGAGCGGCCTGAGGCTCAGAATGGTGCAGGGCTGCGTTGAGGGTCCCATGGCCTTCAGGCGAGCCGAGATTCTACCGCAGCAGTCTCCACCCCGCAGTCGTCAAAATTCTAGAGCTTTCTCTCGCGAATCCATTCTGAAGCTGTTTTCACTTAACTACCTTACTCCCACTTCGCTCCTGCAGGTGTCCTTAGCAATGAGATAACGACACCGCAAACACGTCCACAGGTAAGACGACCTCCATTGCCAACAACACCTCAACCCCCTTCTTCCCCTCCACATGATGATACGCCAGCTGGCACCAGTCATAGAAAGACTTGTACTCCCATCTTTGATGACACATGCTTCGGTCTTCGACCTCTCTCTGACCATTGGAACTCTACCTACCTACCTGAATCGCAAGCATCACATTGTTCTCGAGCTCTTTGCTGACTTGGATTCAACAGTCAAAAGCCACAGCCTCACAGCTCTCGTCAGAACTGAGTCACCGCTTCCAAGATGGTCCTCCACAACCCTAATAACTGGCATTGGGTCAACAAGGATGTTTCACCGTGGGCCAAGGAGTACCTCGAGACCACGCTCTTGAAGCTCCAGGCTGAGGATGGCGGTGTCACAGCGAAGATCAGCAAGCTCGTGAGCATGGACGGCGATGTGGACGTCAGCCAAAGGAAGGGCAAAGTTATTACCATTTTCGACGTGAAGCTCGTGCTTGAGTACTCTGGCTCTACTCCCGATGAGGCTGACGTTTCGGGTACCATTACGGTCCCCGAGGTCGCCCATGACACCGAGGAAGACGAGTACGTGTTCGACATCGACATTTTCGCCGAGTCCAAGGACAAGCAGCCTGTAAAGGACTTGGTTCGCTCCAAGCTTGTCCCTCAGCTTCGATCTGAGTTCTCTAAGCTCTCTTCAGCCCTCATTGCTGAGCATGGCAAGGATATCCAGCACGCGCCTGGGTCCAACCCATCTAGCGGCTTCTCCACCCCAAAGGTGCATGCGCCTGCAAGCACTTCTAAGTCTGCAGCCCAGTCCTCCGCTCAGGCCAACAATGGAGGCGTCGTGAACACTGTTACCCTGAATGAGACAACTGAGTTCCGTACCTCTGCCGACCAGCTGTACGAGACCTTCACTGATCCCGGTCGTATTGCTGCCTTTACCCGTGCGCCGCCTAAGGTGTTTGAGGGTGCCAAGAAGGGCGGCAAGTTCGAGCTCTTTGATGGCAATGTCTCGGGCGAGTACCTGGAGCTGGAGTCCCCCAAGAGGATCGTGCAGAGCTGGCGTCTCAAGCAGTGGCCCGCTGGCCACTTCTCCAAGCTGAACATTGAGTTCGACCAGAACGACATTGACCACGTTACCTTGATGCGCGTGTCCTGGACCGGCGTTCCTGTTGGCCAGGAGGACGTCACCAAGCGCAACTGGGAGGAGTACTATGTGAACAGCATCAAGCGCACCTTCGGGTAAGTGACTACCTTTTGCACGCGGGCCAAGCTGCACTGCTGACACGAACCAGCTTTGGAACCATTCTGTAATTTTGCACATCCCAACAGGAGGACCGACGGCACCGAAGACTATTCATGCAAATATGAGGTATGGCTGCTTCGCCTGGATATGGCAGACACGTGGTGAGAGGATGAAATCAAAGGCTGTAATCGGTCGCAGTGCCTGCTGCTACCTGATGCCTCCTGCGTGGGGGAACGATAGTTACGAGAAATGGACAATGAAACCCCGTTAAATGCTCATTCTTCGAGAAGCACGACTCCATTCGCCGCGACTGCTTAGGGTTTAATGAATGTACCTTGCATCTATATGTTGACGCCCATCGTTGTCGCTCCACACTGGTCTACTTTTTGTGCCGGTGTCATCGGTAATGCATATTATGATGCGATCCAGTACCCCTAGAGCAGTCTCTCTGGCGGTCGAACTGCCAGCTTGCACTGCCAACAGCGGCCCAGAGTGCCTCAAAACCGAGAGGCTTTCAATGGCTGACGCAGCCGGCCTTCATCCTCAATAGGAGGTTGGTCCCGCCGCTTCCCGAACCCATAATCCTTCACAAAGACGTCCATCATGTTATCCCAAAGCCCCATGTCGTAGAGATTCTCGACATCGCGCATCTTCCAGATGCGTTCCCACCCGCCCTGTCCAGGTCCACCGGCGGCCGGCGGCATGCCGTTCTCGGTCGTCACCAGGACCTGTTGGGTGTCGAGCGGCCATCGCGAAGTCGCCGACCCGCGCAGGGGGTCCTTCATTCTGTTGGTCGACATGCTGCGTTTGAATGCAAGTCCATCGTCCATGTCTTCCTTCCACTCGGACCACTTGAGGGATTCGTTGGTGGTCGTGCCGCAGTAGATGAGCCACAGCGTATAGATGAGCAGACCCCAAACCAAGGGGGTCGTCATGGACGACAGCAGCGTGACAGCCCCCATGCTGACGTCGTCCTGAAGCCCCCAGCTCCAGATGAGGAAGTAGTCCTCCCAGCTGAGCGAGCTTGGCGGCCAGACGGACCATCCAGGAAACCTAGCCCGGATCTTGGCTGTGAGGATCGAGTAGCCCAGAGCACCACCGTATGTCGTTAAAATGGCAGTCGAAAGGAGGAGCAGGACGAACCATTTGTGGTTTTCGTAGCCGACACATCCGTTAATGAAGATGCAATGATGGTCGCACTTTGCGATGCAGCGTTTGCAGATACTGCAGTGCTTGGATCTCGGGGGCTTGATGAAGCCGCAGGTGCTGCACTTGTGGCCGGGGTGAAAGATGGAGTAGTCGTATGGATAGAGCGACATGTAATAGGCGTGATTCTCCGGCGTGATGTAGCCGGGATCGGCGTTGACCGCCAGGTAAAGAAACAAGTATGGCAAAAAGACGCTGATGGAGCCGAAGACTCGATGGGAGGTCGACATTTGAGACCAGGCGCTCGGTAGGTACAAGTACTCGGCACCTAAGAGCAAGCCAAAGAAGAATATCTACACCCATCAGAATGAACAGGGAGGCCTGAGACAGGAGTAACGCACCACTATCGTCGGATGTCTGTCGTACATGATGTAATTTCCAAATCGTGAGAAAGATCGGGATAGACGCCCCGACGTCAAAATCCGATCGAGAGCAACGAGTCCATCTGGAACACGAACAAAGAGTAACTTATACAGCGCCGCGACTGGAGTATTTCTAGTGTTTTCTTCATCAGCTTTTTGAATGGGGTGCATTGCGGAGCAGCTGGCTTACCTTAAGGCTGGAAGTCGTCCGAAGAAGAGCACGAACACGAAGAACGAAATGCTCAGCACGATTGTCGCTACTGTTCTAATTATGCCCATCTTTGCAAATGCAACTCAGTAACATGCACCTCAAGCCCGACGGGTACAAAAAGAGCAACACGTGAATCCTCGCAGGACGCTGTGAGGCTCGTCTCAGCGGCCTACCAAAAATTCAAGACGTCAGCAGCAGGCAGCAAAGAGGTGAGACTGTAGTCGCAGTTGCCATCAGCTGCATCGGGCACGACGGCTGTAGCTCGCTTCGTAACACAACCCGAGTTGCACCAAGCGAATAGCAGTGATTTACCTCCTGTTTTGCCCTTCAGTCGTGCACCCTTTGGTCTCAAATATGACCAAAGCAATGCGGATGGCTCGTTGAGAGACCAACGTCACCGGATAACCGACGCTGACAAGCTGGGTGCTCGAATTTTGCTTACTAACAGAGAGTTGCGGGGTGTATGGGCTGCACGTGAGGACGCGATGGCACGGGTTCAATCGCGCCTCATCACGCGTCAGTCACTGGCACCTTCTCCTAGGTCACAACGTGCGGACGTCAGGCCGCTACGCCGCCAACTGCTCAGTGAGCACCAGTCACGAAAGGGCAGGGAACCACGGACTTCACAACTTGCGGGACCCCCGCTGAGTAAAAGACCTGGGGTCGGCACCTTCAAGATCTACAACGTAAATCTACTTCAGAACGCCTGCAACTGCCCCCAGTCTTGCGCCCTAAGGTCCATACAGATTCTCGTTCTTCAAGCTCCAGTTCGCGTCGAGACAATCCGCGGGTCGAATCACAAAGAATGTCGGCAGCCATCACTTATGAAGGACTGCCCGGTGGCCAATTATTCAAGGGCATAAAGTTTTGGGTCGCACAGCGGGTTGCCTGTCGAAAGTCCTTGCTGGATTCTATCTCGGTCAGTTAAAAATCGTACCCTGATACTCATTTTCCTGACTCGGGTGCAGAATAATGGCGGCTCGATCGTACCTTTGGAGAAGAATGCCGATATGCTCATCGCAGACCATATGCGAGCAGACGCGCCACCAGATGCCTACTCCTGGAAATGGGTCGATGATTCTATCAAAAAGGGCGTTCTGCAGAACAAAGATGATGGCACATACCTAATTGGTCATCAATCTCAGAAGTCCCGCCCTACGGCGTCCGCTGCACCGGGGAAAAGCACTCGTACTCCATTCACTCCATCTGATGATTCTGACCTCATCAAGTGGGTTCTTGCGAATAGTAAGAACGACAAGGGAAATGCGGTATACCAAGATCTCGAGCGGGTTGTATGTATTCATTCCCAGCTTCTGCTTCGCTATTACTAATAAAATAATCTGTTCAGAACAATCGCCACACTTATCAATCGTGGAGAGATCGCTGGGTCAAGAAGCTCTCTTTTTTGTCCCAGGAGGAACTGCAAAAGAGGATCATTAGCAGCACCCCGGCTCAGCTGCCGGAACAGCGTGATGCACAAGCGCAGCATCAACCAAGTGGAAGTCCGATTCAACAACCAAAATTGCAGAATCTGGAGAGCACTACGCAGCTCAAAGAACTCGCGTCATCCTGGCCTCAAGGCCAGTGGTGGCACTCCGATTACCCGCTCGAGGAGCCTGTTCAGCAGCGCACGGTCGATTCCATGCTGCGGGTTACCAAATACGTCTTGGAGGCCGACGATCGACTGGACGACCTCTGGAAAGAGGACGGCATCTTGTCACGCCTAGCGCGCACCAAAGGCGCCGGCCTGCTGACTCGTACTGTCGCCGATGCAGCGCGCCAGGAGATCAAGTCTCATTACCGAAATCAGCTGGAGCGTGCAGTTAGTTCTCCTGCTGAGCCTTGTGAACTTCCAGAGTCACAGGCCGATGCGCAGATGGCGAGCCCTCTAGTATCCCGTCTACGTGATCAGTCTCCTCGCAACAGTCTGCCTAAGTTGTCCAAGAATGAGGCACCGCAGTCATCGCAGAGAGCCCGATTTACGCCGGAACATGATATTTTGATAGCTAAGAGTGTCAAACGTGCAGCGAGGCAAGGCATACAGGCCGGCCCAAAATGGTTTCAAGAGTTTGCTGTAGAGGTATGCGTGCAATAGGAGATGGTACAGGTTGATTCGAGCTGACCGTATGAAGAACCCAGAACATACCTGGCAATCATGGCGAAATCACTGGCTGAAAGTCCTGAGGCCTCGTATCGAGGCTGCAGAGGGCAAGGGACAGAAATACGACTTCTATCACGCATATTCAAAACCACCATTTCGAAACCAAAGTACCTCCCCACAGGAAAACGCCCCCCCAAACGACAAACGTCGTGGTGTGCGACGAACAACCACGAGCCCCGAGAGGGTGGAGGATGTCATTGAAGTTAAAGATGTGCAGACCGAGCCTCCTTCCCCAGAGCTCGATGACGACAGAAACGAATTTCTTGCCAACATAGCCGCATACTCTGAGGTCATGGAACTCGCCATCGACTTGCAGCCCAAGATATGTAGACAGTCAGTGGATCTTTACCTGCTACACGTAGCTGTCGAGGCCTACCGAGATCCAGATGGTGAAGAGGACTGGCAACAAGTCGCGGAACAGCTTGGGTTCACACGTGGTCAGTATCCGAATGCCGCGAAGCTTCTGCGTAAATGTTACGAAAACACTTTGCGAGACTTCGTCAATACCCTCCAAGAACCCGACAGCCAGAGCAACGCCGAAGAGGGTATACCAGACCCTGCTGATGGAAATGGCGCGATTATTTCTGGAGCAAGTGACCCTGAGATATCACCAGAAGACGACGAGGGGCAATGGCACTCGCAGGAGATTTCGCACCATAACACTGGTTCTACAGCAGACTTGAGTGCTGCATCCGGGCGAGGTTCTTTGGGTGCCAAGAGGAATAGAACTACTGATATGATCCATGACGCCTCAGTTCTTGGCAGCTCAGCGCACAAACGACAACGGAGAAGTAGGGATGACGAGATTCCCTCCACCCCGGATAATGTTTCGCTGGCCTCCAAAGTAGATGGAACTAACTTGGGGACTCGTTCCAAATCCAACTCTGTGATTCGCGGCCTTGCCGCGAGAGACGAGGTGTACGACTCGCTGGACACGGGTGACGATGAAATCACACCATCACAGCAACTTCAACAAGAGGCAACGGATGATTCACCGATACCTCTTAATCTGCCTCTCAGGGATTCCGCTCGCAAACGACATGAGAGCAAGCCTGATAGGAAGGGGGCTGGGGAACATGACCTCACAATAGGTACCATAAATCGAGGAGTGAACAGGATTCATGAATGGTCGGCGAGCGTGGCTAAAGCACACGAACGAAACAATGAAGTTCGACCAGCTCTCGAGACAGACCAAGACGCTGACGAGGTCGCGAGGAAGGTGGAGTATTACGAATCATTTGGATACTCACGCAAGATCGTTTGTCGAGCACTGACAGCAACATGCATGGAAACCGGAATAGCCAGCGAAGTTATGGAGATGCTGAAGACACACCCAAACCAGGGGTTGCCTACCAACATGATGGGGGTGTGGACGTCAAAAGATGACGAAGGACTTAGATTCATCTGCGGTGAGCCGTACTCCGACCCCAAGATCGAACGGGACCGGTCACACAATGTGGGGAGGGAACGAAGGAGACTGGAGCATAAACATGGACGCAACAGGATCGCGACCCGGATCGAGTTCCTCGCCATCACCCGGCACGAAGCAAGACGGAAGAGGATGGAGACTTTGCCGATACCCTGATCGATGTGTTCATTTACGGCTTGCAAAAAGTGCAATGATCAATGAAGTTAGCATGGTTAGCGACGCATTATTTCAAGAGCTTGTTTACGGTACCGCAGTTTTTTTATTTTTCTTCTAAGGCATCCTAAATAGAGATGTCCCATTCCTCAACCAATCTCGCCTTCTTTGACCAGAGAGTACCCGTAATGCCATCCTTCTCGTCCCAAGTCTGCCCTTACTTTATAGCCGCCCTCGGCAGCATCGAGTATGTCAAGGTCCACGTCCACGACACTCATACCCTCCTCCGCCCCCTGCCTCCCTTGAGATCCCAGCAGTGGCATCCCGACCTGACTCACCCCGCAAAAGCTCACAGATTGATCCTCTCCCTTTGCGCTCGGCTTCGGACCTCCAGCGTTGACAAAAATGACTGCAGCAGAGCTCTCACATGCCCTTGCAACAACCACGCTGTCAAGGAACACCCTCTCGCTCTCCAGATTGATGACCCTTCCCGTCCGGTCGCGATACTGGTCCATCAGCCAAAATGCCGGGATGATCACGACACGCGCTCCATCTCGCACCAGCTCCCTCATCGCCTCGGGAAACGCCAGGTCCCAGCACACCAGCATGCCTACTCGGCACCCGCCGCCGAGCGCCGTGTCGAAAGCCTTGTGCTCCGAAGGGTCCGCGACGAGGTGGGGCCGCTCATTGTGCCAGAGGTTCTTCTTCTGATAGCGCGAGAGAACCTCGCCGCCGCTAGAGATGAAGTACGCAATGTTGACGAGGTCGCCCGTCTCGGCCCGGTGCTCAACGAGGGTACCCGGGACGATGGCAATGGCCAGTTCCCTGGCGAGAGCCTGGTACCTCTCGAGATAGAGGGGGGACTGCTCGCAGCAAGCGAGAAAGCGGGGGTCTTGCGGCGCCCAGGATGTGAGATGATATTCTGGGAGGACGGCGATGTGAGCGCCCTGGGATGCAGCGTCGCGGATGAATGACTCGGCTTTGGTAAAGTTGGACGCAGGGGAGAGCGGCTACATATACGTCAGCACTACTGGACTTCTCCAATGTAGATTCGAATAAATTCCTCTCATCAAGGTAGTCTCGGCAAGTGGCGGGATGCCAAATTGTAACCATCGCGCGATTGACTGACTGACCTCAGAATAAAGTTGGACAAGAGCGACTCTGATCACTGAGGAAGACATTGCGGCAGTGAGGCTTGCACACTGGGCCGAGTGGGCTCAGATGCTTTATTATCGCGGTGTCGGCACATTCAAGTTGGAGTTATAATGCCGCTGATACACCTGGAATTTGAGGGTGCCGATAAGAAGAGGCACATCAGCTGCTGCCACATACATACGTTGTCTGCTTCCGCATGCAGGACGGTCGCTTCGCAAGTGACGCGCCCCACCACCACGACACCACCATTATTGCATCGACTACTGGCAGTCCATCAACTAGAAGAATCCCATAACAATTAGACTGTACTATGTTTGCTTCGGTAGCAAATACGAACGTTTGCTAATTCAAGGCCTTACCCGAAAATCCTCAAGCTACGCAATTTCAACCATCACCATTTCTTCCTGATGTCCCAAATCATCGCGCCTATGCTTCTCAGCTATGATCGATCCCCAGAATAAATCCCATGGAGAGTATAAACCTCCACTTAGCCCCCAATGTTCTGTAAAACGAAAGTCCCAAGATTTCATGCGAATACTACCGCCTAGATCGTCCCATTTCGAAAGCGAACAGTAGATGGAATGATTGGTGTAAGCTTTGAGCCGCTTTGGATTCCGGTGCCCAGCCTGAAGGAGCCATTGTCGTTCCAAATTCGCACAATGTCGCGTGGGAAATGACGTGCTAAAGAAATGGCGAACCCAGTGAGCTCGCCTAGTTGATCGTCAGTTTGAGTTTTGGGCTACAACTGACGAGTTACGCACCAAGGGCAACCAGTCCAAGATTTCTGACAGCTGACGGAGGTAGTCCGTATGAGCCCATGGTCAAAGAGACTGTTGGACAAACAATGTATGGCCACCAATTCATCCAGCCAACACTGCCACGAATAGAATCGTGGACCGTGCTAGCCGAAGCCGAGGCTTCTGTCAACTTGTCAAGTATGTCTTCGGCTTTTGTATGAGCTTGCTCTATCATCCCAATGTGGTTTTCGTGGTTCTTAGCGAGTCGATCCGACAAGTCAAGTAAAGTATTCATCCTCTGATTCATGTCAATCAAGCAGCTCGACAACTGCCGATATTCACCATGCTTACTTGCTCGAGGCGGTCTTGCTGATATGCAAGGGCAACAGTCTGAGAATTTGATGCCGTCTACGACAAAATGAGTCATGAGTCTTGGGTGTTGGAGGGAGGCCACGTACAATATGCTCTTGAAGGGAATTTGTCGAGGTCATGACACCTTCAAGTGCTGCAACAACGGACGACTCGAGATCGGTATACTTTTGTATGGTCTCAAGAGCACGATCGTGAGAAGTCGAGCTGTCGGCATTACTTTGCAGGACTGTCTCAATGAGGACTGAGATCAGTTGCTGGAGAGTATTGGCGTCCCGTAGGCCGTTCTGGATCGAAGACGTAGTGTCCTATGAATATGAGCTCGACCGTACCCGCACATCATCGTGAGTATCGACCTACCTTTGTCGTGTGAAAGACCCTTTCGGACAACATTTGTTCCAGCGCGGCGAGGCCATCTCGAACATGATTCAGGCGGGGTGTTAGGTGATCCAGATTGAGGTGAGCATTATCTAACTTGTCATTGATGGATTGCAGATGTTTCTCCAGCTCGGCTTCAACACCACGAGTGAGCCTGGAGAGCACTCCAGTCAACCGTTTGTATAACTCCACGTTTTGCGCTAGATATTGTTAGTACAAGCAATGGGGAAAACAAAGCATGAGAACGAGCCTTTTTCATTGTCAGCACGAGCGGCCTCGCAGAATCTGAGAGCCTTGTGGCGGTAGCTGACCCAAGTGTTCCACGCAGAATCTGACTTGGCCAGGGCAGTGAGGCAAGAGTCGATCTCTCGCGTCGAGACGTGAAGGTTCATCTTGTCGAATGCTGGAAGATTGAGTAGTACGGTCTCTCGAAATCTGGAGCAATCAGGCGGAATGGAAAAGCTACCCCGTTCAAGATCGCAAATGGCTAAACTGGCGGCGTAGGAATCGACAAAGTCGCGAACCTGACGACCACTGTCGATCAACACGGTGGCATCGTCTTTGCCGTCGAGGAGTTGACAGTTGTTGACAAGGAGACGAGCTGCGACCCGGTGGCAGAGAGGCTGGGTTTCGAGTTCTTGCAGCTCACGCAAGGCCACTGCGTACATACTTGGCAGGGGTAAGTCCTTCTCCATACCAAGTGTGGAACTCAGGGTTGTATCCCCTAGGAAGCCTCCCGGTGCTGGGCGTTTCGTTTGTATACCCCACGAGAGCGCCGAAATATGCTGGCACCAGGCTGCTAGGACCAAGACTACGAGATGAGAGCCCGCAAAGAGTCGCATCATGTCTTGGTTCCCCAGTCCTGGAGCCGTTTTGAGATTTGTCTTTCAAGCTGTGAGCTGCGTAGGAAATGTTGTTGCAAAGTTGCAGGGGCTGAGAGAAGTATGGCAGCGTTGAGCAGAGAGCTTGCTTCCGAGACTTCGTGGATAAAGGAGTGGATGGGGGGACACAAGTTCTGGATATCTGGCCACTACTTGTAATGCACTTGCCTACCTAGGTAGGTGTTCAGGATAATTGATTTATGCTTCTGCGGAATGACTTTAAGTGTCAGAACTCTGAGGCAGGAGCAGCTTTTAGGAGGAGCTTTAGGGCAGGATCACATCGATGGTCATTAGGTACCTTCCTCGAGGTAGGGCAGGAGGTCTGCAAACAGACTTTCAGCCAGCAGCCGCGCAGAGATGGTCTGAAGAGGCAACGGCGGGCATGCAAAGCTTCTTTTAAAGGAGACGGCAAGTGCGTCAGTGAACATCAAACTCAAGCTGGCATCTTGCAGTTCATGTTGGACCCTATTGGCGCCCGAAGCTATTGCAGACTGATCTATAAATCATGGTCAATAGAGCATCGCCATGCGAACCCCCTCATTCCCTTCATGGTGTATCTACTGAGCGAAGCGTCCCTTTGATTTAAGGAAGGTGGCGTTGAACATGTGCTGAAGTGTGCTGAAGTTGCCGTAAATCGGGGCCAGAGATGTGGTGCAGAAACACTGAATACGTTCGCTGATACCAAAATGACGCTGATTCACTCTACAAACTACCATACTAAGCAATGCCGTTGAGACACACGATGCCAAGGGTGTCAAGCAGCACCCTCCCCTCACATGATATACCGAAGAATCAGCAAGAAGCTGATTGGGGCCATGATCTTGCAAAACCCTTCCCCTCAAAGACGTGGCGGCGTGGACATCAATCAAGACGTCACAGCACATGACAGATCAGGTCCGAAGGCCGCGGCTGCACACCCTTTCAGTTGTTCAACAGCCCATAGCAGGTCTTGACGGCACTGGGCTACCCTTGCATTTGGACCGGACCCAAGCGGGGAGCTCGGCTTGTATGCAGTAGGAGATGACAGGTCCTTCGTGTGGATGCATGCGACATGTGTGGCAGCCATCTTGTGGTTGCATCGCGTGGGCGTCGTGTATGCAACAAGGTTGGCGACATGACATGGAACTGGTGACACGAAGATATTGAGGTCTTTGAATCTCTACAGTACATATCGATTGAAAGCATGTATTGAGGAGGCGCACTGGAATTTTTTTATTCTAACGTGGATGGGCAGGTGTGCCGTGATGGGGCGAAGTACTGCGTGTACTAGAGCAAAAGTAAGGGTTTGGTAAACGTTGCGGGGTGAGGCGGGGTTTCGGGGGTTCTGACAGCTCACAAGACCGGCCGATGGCAAGCCCCCACGACGTGATCAAACCCCTCTCCTGGACAGTGGCTCGGCAGGAGGTAGGGATTCAACGTGGATTCCTTGTTTTCCTTCTGTAACGAAAACTTCAGTCAAAGACGTCTGATACTGATACGGCTGTCGAAGGCTCACAACTTGAACCATGAGGTATGAGACACGAAGTAGCTGCGAGGGCCCTGATTTCGCATGTTGATCAGACACAACGGACCAAACTAGGGCTGACCTCGACACCGCATTAGCCTCGCTGAGGATATTTCCCAATTGCTATTGTTCTGTTTCGGATATGTGACGAAAATCAAGCCTGACCTAGACTAGTGCTACAAGTCACGAGAAAACGACACGAAAGGGAGCTGGCTCCCTAGCGTGACGGGGTTGCACAGCACCCACGCTCTCGGCAGCCTGCATGCCTTCTGGCTCCATGTATGGAAACCTCGGGGGATATTCTAGGTTTGACTGATAGCATGAAGAGATGAATGATCTGCCCTTAGCCCGCCTCCCCGCCTTTGCGGCCCGCCTTCGCTCGACATATATTTACCCCCGAGCCTCCGCAACTGGGCCGGAACTATCGTTGACAACATGTGAATTGATTGCCCCCCAGGCCATAGTACTGCGATTCCAGTCACAGAGTCTCCCCGCTGTTACTAGACAGCTGTGACCTCTAGGTCCGGAGCAGGTGCAGGACAACAATTCAGTTCTGTCAGGAGAAGATACGTTATCAGCGTTCATAACTCTTGAGCCTCATGCTAGAGACTGTATGTCCTTGAGTAATACTGGTAAGAGTGTATTTTGCTTGCAAACAAAGCTAGATTCTGCTTGCACGTTTCTTGTCTTGACTCTCCGGACGGCTCACACGAGACAGGCCATAGTTTGTCCGCACATACTACTCTACATCGATACTTTCAGTACTCAGACACCAAAAAAACCGGGGAGGACCTGTATAATGTGTATCCAGGTCGATAAGATGTGGGAGTGTGGTCATACAGGCTTTTATAACCTCAAGTGGTGCCACCAGATCGGCTGTCGGGGACCAAGCCCGAAGCATGACCTTGTGGCGGCGACTGGAAAGTGTGTCGACTGTGCGAGTCGATCTAAAGACCCGAATCCTCGTGGATGAGCCTAGACGATATTTCAGTATGAAGGATCGAGCCAGTGCGAGCAGAAGGGAGCCATATGTCTCGGCAATTGTCAAAAGCAGGACTTGTACCGAGTTGTACACTGGGTCTAAGGTATCATAAGATCGGGACATGTATGTTTCCTTGTTGCCCCGTGGCGGTCGTGTGCCACCAGAGCTGAGTTGGCAAATTGTCGTAGTGTAAATAGGCGACGGATGCAGGTGAGCGAAAGATCTCTATGCATTATTGTGCGTGCCCTGAGGAAATAAATCTACATGTAGCACGTGGCAAAGAACAAAAACCCTGTGCTGGTACTCAGCCTTCCACTTCAGGCCTGGTCCGCTGTCAAATGTCACTGGCCGAGGATCTTCAGGGGACTAATCACCTAGAACGCTCCCCGGGGCTCCCCCGGTGGGCGAGCTGGGGGCGGAACGTCGGGAAGTGACTCCCTGCAAGGCGTGGTGGAGCCCATGTTGCGATGAGTCAGCTGCAAGGCTAAGGCCGCTAACGCCCCGTAGCGGGGCCTCGGGCTCGTCATCCAACCATGAAGCTCACCTGCGGTTCTCGGCGTCGGATCGCACGACTCCCCTCTCCAGCCTTGAGTATCATACGATTGTCAACATGAAGTGGTCGATTTTCGTCAGGCGCAACCAAAATCTTCCGCTTAGCGGGAACTTCTCCCTGAGAAGGTCAGGCCATCATCTGGCCTGTCGAATCTCGCCTCCGGAACCTCATTGGCCTTCCGGCTTCCATACCTTGCCCTCCTCGCTCCCCCTGACCCGAATGAACAAAAGTGACATTTGCGACTCACCATTCCCTCCCGTATCCATTCCGCAACCTGCTAGTAGCATTCGCAAGCGAAACCCGGCGACCACCCCCTTCGCAAGTCTCAACTAAATATCTTTTTGCGCTTGTTGGAAGCTTGCTAAACAGCTTGGTGCGTATTTGTGCTCTCGCTTTCCCCAATTCCTTTGCCTGGTCATGTTTCCCCACCATCATCCATTCACACCACCTAACGTAGCCTAACTTTCTTGGTCGCGACACCTCCCATGCCTTGCTGTCGCCTCGTTGCTGCTTCAAATCTCGAATCAATTGACGGCCACTGCTAATTTTCCACAAGCCTGCGAACTCCTCCGCACTGTCTGCTCTCATCATCGCAACGCCAAGTCGGTGCGATCCCCGCCATTCCGACCTCTATCCCGCACAAGGGCCATACAGCCTTTTAGGACCGCCCTTCGCCAAGTAGCAACAGCGCGAAGTCTGGAGACGACACCAAAGCCCGTGCCGAGTGATGCTGCAAGCCTAGCAAACAAGTCTTTGCCGCGAACATTCCTCAACATTGGCTACAATCTCGCCAGCACCGCCGAGTTCCCTTCGTGTTCGCATAGCCAGAAGCCAGTCGATTCCTAGATCGTACGACCCCTCGAAGCTTCGGGGGTCGACATGCTGGCGCTGTAATGGACCCCGACTTTCTCAAAAACCTTGAATATTTCGCCACACCCAATAACCAAACACCCACCAACCCCGACCAGGCCGGCGAATCGTCCATCGCAGCTGCCGCTCGCAATGAGACCGATGCTGCCTTCTGGGACGCGCTCGCGAAAGGCGAGCCATCCTTGACCGGGGCGTCTTCCAATCCGCCTTCCTCATCAGTACCCTCTTTTGCGCAGTCCTCCACAGCGCCGACGAACCTTTCGTACCGGCCCGTGCTGGGCCAGGCCAATAACAAACGACCGGGGCCTGGGCTTTCAAGGATAACACAAGGTATAGCTAGCCCACGAAGAAAGGAAGGGCACGAGAAGAAGAGGACCAAAATGGATCCGGATGCGGCAGCTCTAGAGTCGGTTGACTACTGGATTCAATTTGACGATGATGACGCAGACAACAACCTGGGTGGTAGTTTCGAAATCGACTTTTCAAAACGGCCCAGTAATCCTTCACATTTCGGCAGGTAGGCAGGCGGCGCAACGTGACGGAACTTTTGCAGGCGGCACAGACTGACTTGCGACAGACCACCAGCGCGGCTCAATCCCTTGCCTACGACACCAGGGTTGGGCACCGGCCTTTATGCAAACCCAACGTTCAGGGAGGATGATTTTCTGGACGACGGCGCCCTCGACAATGCGCTGTCTGAGGATGAGGATTTTCTCGACAACATGAATTTGGGCGAGCAGCTATCAACCATTGAAACTCAGCCCCCATCAGAAGTACCGCCTCGAGAGGGACTCTACTCAACACCATTGAGCTGGGAGAAACCAGCCCCTGGCCTCAGAATGAACCCGCTTTTTGGCCTCGGTGCGCCTATGCTGGACCCCGAGCAAAGGCGATTGCTCGCCATTGCCCTCAACGCAGGAGGATCCGCCAACAACATTGCTTTCCGGGCTCCGGGTTTGGCATGGGAGGTGACATAGGATCCGAGTACTCGAGCATGGGCCACATGGGGATCGAGTGCTGCGACAGCAAGCCTCAGCGAGATCTCAAAGCCAGCCGGCGACGAGCCGACGAAGTCCAAGGGCAAAGGGAAGGAGAAGGAGGGCGAGGCACCGAGGCCTGCGAAACAAACGAAGGCACAGAAAGTACAAGCTGCCAAAGCTGCCGCTGCTGCAGAGGCGGCAAATGAGAAAGGGAAATTGGGGGATCGGACCGCGCACAATGATATCGAGAGGAAATATCGCACAAACCTCAAGGACAAAATTGCGGAGCTCCGAGATGCGGTCCCGTCTCTGAAGTCCATGCCCGAGGAGGGCGACGAAGACGACGATGACAGCCAGACCCGCGGAGCGCCCAAAGTCAGCAAGGTATGGCGTCTCTGCTCCACAATGTGAATGCTATTCTTTTGGCGGTTCTGACTGTGTTTAGGGAACTGTTCTACTGAAAGCAACGGAATACATCCACCATCTCGAAAAGAGAAACCAGGCAATCATGAAGGAACACCAAGAGCTCGCTCGCCGGCTGCAAGCATTTGAGCAATTGTTGACGGCGACCGCTCGACAACCGTTCCCAATGCCGACCTACAGCAGGACCATGTTTGACCCCCGCGGATTCTGTTAGAATTCTTTGTTCGTCACGACCTTTCACGGCCAATCTGTACATCATCTGCTGCTTGCAGTAGCCATATAATGAATGAACTGGAGTTTATTGGGTTGGATAACCAACGAAGACATGCATCTGTGCTGGGGGCCGAGAACCTGACCTCATTCTTCTGAAAGCCACGGCCTGACCGAAGGCCAGAGAGACGGGGGAGAGAGAGATCACATCAGATGAGCATGGGTTTTAAAACGGCGTTTACATGTTGCATTCAGGGCGATGTTGATGAGCATCTGCAGTCAAAAGGGAATAATTTCCATCATCACGAGAGCAAAACCGATGCGATTAGATTATTTTCGCGGCAATATACTGAGCCAACCGGAGCCTTGCTACTCCCGCTGTGTGCCGTCCATGTCCTGACGATAGATGGCGAGTCAAATCTGTCGTAAGTATGGTGATGTACAGGTCATGTTACATGTAGTCCAGACGAGGCCGGGCTCAATCCCGTAGCGCCTCAATGTCA